TAGTTGGCCAAGTTTATTATCATTAAGCGACTAATGGGTACAAAATAAAATTTAAACATAATAACTAAATATTTGTCTAAACTGCATAGAACTTTAGTGATGGGGCTGTGAATTATATGCATTTATAAATTTTGTTTGAGCCACTTTGAATAATTCCAAGTTTGTGTAATTGTGTTGTAGCATTATATAGTAACGCAACGATATTTTTCATTTTTGGAAGAATTAACCCCTTCAATTATCCCACAACTAATACATTAAAAAAAACACTTTCGGAAGTTGAAAACCTATTATATTTATTACTATTATATGGTCTAAATAAAATTTGGACAGTTCGATAACCAGTATAATGTAATCGCATCGTTCAAGTTTAAAACTACAAATAAAAAAATATATTTAAACCAATATTTAATAATTTATGTACTTACAAATATATTTACTTATTAATAAACTGTATTACAAACTGCAACTTACCTGCAAAAAAAAAAAAATTAACATTAAAATAGTAAATTTGATTTTAATAAATAGAAAATACATTTTATATATTTTGATAGAAAATTAAATTTAACTTTTTACTCATAATGGTTTAGGATTTTTTTTTGCTTTGTATGAAATTAGGTATAACTAAATAAGAGAATTAATTTATATAATGCTAAAAATAACACCATTAAAAACTCTTGTACAGTTCAGGCATTTCAATCCATTAACACAATGTAAGAAATTGTATTTTTTTGCATAACATGAACATGTATATAACATTGTACTTACATCCAGACGGTTGCACTATGTACACTCTGTTGTAAAAATAATAATGTGTACATATATACATTTTATTATTAAGAAAAGTTTTTTTTTTTTAACTATACATTTCCACTAAGAAGGATTTATGGTTTGTTTGTCGTTTTACTTTGGCAAAAATATGAGAATATACCAAGGGAAAACGATGTAACGCCACTACCATCGTTTAATCGGTCGTGAATAGTGGATAGCTTCCATCTTCATTTAGAAAGACCAAGCAATAACAAGAGGGTGGCATTTTGATTTCAATGTGATTATAATACAGAGAACAAGTTGATTTGATATCATAAACAAGAAAGGGATCGCCTATAACTCACGAAAAAGGCCAATTTATTATTTTTACAATTGCAATATATTCAAAGACGATAATGAATTCACCGGAGAGTCGTTCCAGGATGGTCCAAATGAGTTTAGGAATAATCATTACAATAGTGAGAGCTCGTAGAACATGATTTTCCGGAAAATGAAAAGGTCATTATTTTGAGGTGACGAACTGTATCGTGACAAAACGCCCTTTTATCGTTTACGCATAATCACTCATTCAGTTACACTGTGTAGCTGCACAGGATTTCCATACATCAATATTCATCGTTTCTAAAGAGCTAAAGAGTGTGTAGCTACAGCCAAGTGAATACACGATTGACATTCACTATGTTAGGATATTTATAGTTGAATCTAGTCTAGACTTCTTAACGAAAATGTCAATGTTTCAAAAAAATAATAAAAAATAAAACCTTGTTGTTCAAAATAAGTATTAAAATATTCATAAAAGCTTGTCAACTGAAAATTTTATTTGTGATTTTCCAATATATCGCTTTTAAGTGTTATTGCAATTTTTTCCGACTATACAATCAAAAAAATTCGTGAGAATTTATTTTATTTTTCTACTACAACCCCAAGGCGATCATTAAGACGAGCAGCCAACCATTGTTAAAAAGTGGCATTTTCTCTTTGTATAATAACTGGCGTTGTCTTACTGTTAACATTCGTAATGATCATTTGCACTACTCCCTACAGTTACCAATAACCAAAATAATAAGTCCGGAGTCTATACAACACAGAATTCAATGCAATTGTTAAAATAAAAACACGCCCTTAAAGAAGACGACAAAATTATTTCATGGTCCGTTGAATCCAATTAAATATCACATAAATCAAGCAAATTTCTTACAATAACGCTTACAAAAACAGTAATTTCTACAATAGTTAATTTCACTAATCTTTAGTTAAGTTTGATTGAAATAATATCTATATCTAATCATTGGTACTGTCAGACAGTAGATAATACACTGACATTCTTTTGCTTATATAATTAACTAAAAAGTTACAAGCGTATAGAGAAGATTGTAACACCTTAATGTAATCTTATACCTTTAACAATAATCAAATAAACTATAAACCATCTTTGTAATTTACAAGTAAACTTATAAAATAATACAATTATAAAATGTCATACAGTAAACTAGTAAGATACGGTTTAGTTTTGATATTTATATGCTTCTAATGCAAAATATATGGCCATTTTCAAATATTATTCAAAGCACACGTCTTATTTGGACAATGTTGTTAGATCAATAAACTAATTGCTCGATATATAGTAGCTGAAATGCCTAATTCAATTAAATGGTTCAGTTAGAAAAAAATAACGAAATTGTGAAATGTCAATATGAACTGAATACCAATGCACACAGAACGTCTCTTGTAGTGGATCACGATTTGTCCCGAACTCGTGTACACATAGACCGCAATATTACCACGCGGTCAATTAGCTTGAAGTACAGCACAAAGTCCCACCAGAGGATTTTCGATTATCCAGAGGATTGCGTGCAGGGTTTATGAGATTGGATGGATACCAACATTACATTCAATAGATATAAGGTAAGTACACGCAGAGTATTCAATTAAATAAAAAGTAATGTTAATCTAATAATTCATTTGCAAATATTTGAACTAAATATGTAGTTAAAAAGGATTAAAAAAAAAAAAATCTGTATATTATAGCTGCGCGTACATCAAAATAATATGATTGAAAAAATTTATTTTGTGGATTGTTTACTATAAAATTGAATATCATGATTAAACATTTATTTTATAGCACATACAAGAACCAATTATAACATTGTGATACATTTTGGTTGTGTGTTTCATTATGCTGACCTATAATTATTATAATTAACCGCAATTCAACCCATTAAGGTATACGAGCAAAGTCATGTTTAAATGAGATAACACACTAGTAAGTTAATTAACTTAGCGGTGACAAGATTTAGTGTAAAGATATAAATGCATCACTGAAATGATATTTTATACGAGTTAATTTATCTGTGGGATGTTTGTTAATGTACCCACGCACAAAATTATATGTTAGTACATATTAAAGAGTTTATGCAAGAACTAAAATCTTATCATGATTCTTTAAAAACATTCATAAATGTTAAATTCATTTTAATATTTAAGACATGCAATTTAAATTAATGTTTAAAATGGTACAATTGCAAGTAAAACTATTCCCTTATCGAACTTTGTTCTAGTACTTAAACTGCATTGTTTATTTATTCAAAATCTAATGCAACATGTGATTGCCATGTGATGCTTGCAATATTTATATAGTTTGATAATTATTTCTGCGTGATAAAAGCGCATTATTAACGCCAACTTAATATTTTAGTGTAGTGTACTTAAATAAATCTTTCAGGAGCGAGGCGTGTTTTAAAAACACGTGACGAAAACATAAGTCCATGTCACGAGGTCAAATGAGATTTCACGTGCAAATTACTTCAATGTTTAGTGTACGTCCGTAATCGAAAACTATACCTTGTTGGTGGTTTACTAGTATTTCTTGTCGTTTGAAAACCTAAAAAAAGCTAATTATCATGTTTTGTACAGCATAGATTTTACAGTATACTGACAATGTTTTAGCTGCAATATAAAGTACAAAAAATTTCTGAAAATTTAGCAAAACGATGACCATTATGTTAAACTGTCGGCATTTATTGACGAGTGCATCAATAATGTAGTTTTATTTAAAAAAATTCTATTGCACTGACGTTTATGAGTTCAATAGGCTAATATGATAAACTATAAAGTAAATGGGTCTTCCAGTGGCTAGCACTATGAAAAACACGTCATAAACAGAGATGTATAAAATAATTTATAATACTACAATAATTACAGACATAATGACATGTAATCGCTTTGAACGCTTCAATATCCTAATAAGAGTAATAATTCACATTTTGTTATTCATTATAGTTATAGCGTACCAACGTCATATTCTTCCATAATAATGCAAATTTAACAGGGTATCGATAACAGAACAAAAGAAAAACCTTCAAAAGTTTTCAGACATAAAAAAAAATATACTATTGTAAGAAGATAAGTAATATCATAGTTGTTATAAAGTCTTGTAAAACACCAAAATGAAAATTATTGAGAATACAAAGAATGCAACAATAGATAAAATAAGCTTCATGTTATTTAACAAGGTAAAACTTATATCATATATCAAAATAATAATAATTGGAATGTACTATTATGAAAAGAAGCTTATAGGAATAGTTTTTTTTGCATAACAAGTGCTTGTTCGTAAAGTGAATTTAATAGTTGATTGATGTAATTTCAACGTATGAATAGAAATTAGTGTTGGGAAAACACTTGAAATAATCATATTTTACTATTTAAAATGTAAAATTCACTTTTCTCACGAGACATCCAAGGTCAATTTTTAAAATAAATGACTTTTTAAATTTTCCATAGTAACGTTTGAAAGTGTTGTCACATGGGAACTACAGATCTTTTAATGGTTTAATTCTAAAAACTTTAATTTCATTGAACTTGTAAACTTTTAATAAGCAAATTTATTTCTTCTTGCGTTAAAATCCAATGGAATAGTAAACACTATGATTATGGTAAATGTCAATAATAATAAAATTTTTAGTAGGATATTTTAAATTTTTTTTTAATGCTAATTTGAGCTATTTGATGTAAAATTTATCTATAAAATAAAATGACATTACAAAATGGCATTCCTTATGTTCATATAAATCACAAATTTTAATACAATACAGTTTTTCTTTTTATTCGTCGCCATAAAGATGTGATAGTATAGTTAAATATTCCAGATAAAATTTATTTTCTATTGAATATTTAAAACGTTTTAGGAGTCAACGACACTGAACAACTCCAATATTGTCTATCTTTTTATATTTACTCATTATTTGTCATTTTTATTTACACATTAGGAATATGGAAATTATTTTTTTACTATTTTGCAGAAATATATAGTTACCGTTTTTAATTTTGTATTGAAGTTCATTTTTATGAGTAAACGTGACCGATATTAAATGTTCCCATAGAAATTTTTTTTCAAAAGTAATACTAGGTAAGTTTTATATTTTGACGGAACGCCTTCATTGAATTTCATCTCGAAAAAACTCGTCCCATAAGACATCTCAGCAAGTGTTGTGTACATGATGTGCATTTATACTGTAGGCAACCATATTTTCATAATATGCACTACACAAGTGTTTTTCGTTACAGTACATCTTGATTTTATAAAACATTTATTCACACACTAGTTAATATTACAGCAAAAATTCTGAGCAGATTTTATAAGCCAAAATAGGCAATCAAAATAGTTTCAAAATGGATACGAAAGACTGAAAAAATAAGTAAATGTATGAACACTATTCTGAGATGTAACACAACAACGATAAGAGGAAAAAACACTTTCAAAAAAGTGTTTAAATAAATATTTAGTTTGTCACGCATTGTGCCTTTAAAAAACAAGAAAGTCCAAGCACAATTTCACTTGGGTAAATCCTACTAAGTATTATAATGCCCAGATGTTGTAGTAAAATCATTTTTAAAGATTAAAAGTTACCTTTTAAGGGTTCTTTTCATTAAGTAGCGTTATACTTATGTACACAATAATGATAGGAAATTTTCGCACCAAAACAGAGAGTTGGCAATAATCTAATAATTTATAAATGTTAATTTGTAAATTTTAATTATTTGTAAAAATTTCATAAAATTAAACGCCCCCGGGTGGGCTCGAACCACCAACCTTTCGGTTAACAGCCGAACGCGCTAGCCAATTGCGCCACGGAGGCTCTTATGTACTAAAGATTAAATGAAATTAACATAAATTGTAAAAAATTAAAGCTCTTTACAAATATTAATGGCACTATTATTAACGTTTAAGAAATTTTATGTGCATTCAGCTGTTAGTATTCATGACGTTTGATAAAATTAACGTCATTGATAGATAATAAAATAATGGTATAACACAATTTTTTTAGGAAATTTTATGGCATCGAGTCAATATTTAGTTATAAATATTATTTTCAAAATTCATTACGGTTTTGTCTTTTTAAAATATCGTTTCAAAGTTAAAATTATCCACTATTTGTTTTAAAAAATTCCAAATCCATAATTTTGTTATGATAATATGAACTGTTCATAATCATTTAAAATTATTCCTTGAATCTTTGTGAATTTAACATTTCTTATTTACTACTATAAAAATGTTTTTCGTTAGGTGTAGCAAATAATTTAAAACGTACATTTTTACACATTTAGTTCTCGATTGGTTTGAAAAATTAAGTAGGCGAACGTTGATACTTGGAAAAAAGGTTGCTTATGAGTTATCATTACATGTGTACAACCTCATTCGCATATTATATTAAAAGAACTATTTCATTTTAAGTTTTTAGAAACTTGTTTCATTTTATAACGACTTTGAGTTAACACCAACTAAAGGTAATAATTTTCTTTTGAACACTCTAACTGCTATTACAGAAGTGTTGTTTTTGAAAAAAAGTTACAGTCATGTCCGCCCAATTGCATGTCAAGTTTTCTTTTCTGTTATTTTTAACTAGAAATTATGTAGCTATGCACACAATCAGAACAATCTGTGATAATATTTTGTTATAATTTAAACGCAATTTATAATACATGTTTGAGCACAGAAAAGCACACAAGGTGTCTAAGACTAAATTTTAAAGTGTGAAATATTTTAATCTTAGATGAGGTTTCATGTATTTAAAGTACATAAAATATTACATCGTTTTAATTGTACGTATTAAATTATTAGAAAAACATTGTAATATTATAAAAATTAGAAAATTGTTATAATTATTAAACTTTATAGGGAAAATTAAATCAGGCGTAGGATTATTAAGTTAAAAAATATAATAAAATAACATGAAAAAAATAAAAATATTATTTTGACAACCAAGAATAAATATACTTAGCCAAATTATGTAAACTTTACCATATCTATTCTAACGTTAATGGTAATTTTTACTAACTTAATTTCACATTTTAAATATAAAATACGTAATTTGAAAAAACATAAAAAAATTTTTAATTTTGCACTTTTTTATTACATATATATTTATTTAGTTTTAAGTATTCTTATGTAAATCATGTAATTTTACAGCAATTTTACTTTTTTTTTAACTATTCCGTCAAAAACGTTAAAATTCAAAACGTTTGAAAAAATTACTATATCCAAAATTACTTTCAGTAATTGGCTATTAAAAATGATTGCTCAAATGTTTCATATTGACAATTCTTGTATGATCAAAAGTTATTAATAGAAATAAATATATAATATAGGAAATGTTTTCCTTTGGTGCGTATTTTAAATTTAATATTATTTGTCATGAACAAATAGTTAATTTAAAAATTATTTTATATTTTAAACAATAATATAAAATCGTTTTTACTTTTTAAAATATTAAATTTATTTTTTATACAAAAGTAATTAAATATAAGTTGTAATGGATAAAACATTGATTTATCTATATTCAATATATGGATATATATATTTATTGATACATCATCATAACTATATTTGCTGTTTGAATTATACAACAAACATATTATTTTGTTTCTATAGAAAAAGTAAATTTTCTCCAGAAATTTGTAAAAATTAATCTTCAAATGGCTTTAACTTAAATAAATGAATATCAGTAGTTCTTTATATAAATCAAATAAAATGAGTCGAAGACTGTACATCGGAAATTGTTTACTCGTGTTTGGTATAATAATTGTAACTTATACTGAAAAAACCAATCAAGCAAGTAAAGAATATAAATTCATTTTGTTTTGAACAATAACGAATAGTTAAAATTAAAGACAAAATTTATTTGCTTGTTATTGTGTAACATGTTTTAGTGTGTCTAACAAATAAACGGGTGTTATCCAATTTCCTAAATTAATTGCACTTGATTTTGTACGAATCATCAGTTAAGTAAACATTAAAAATTTTATGAAATTTTTCTGATGCTACTGCTATTAACAAAACTATATGTTATTGTTCATAGATATGATATAATATTTGAAAAGTTTTGGCCGTAAATTACAGAAACGACAACGGATGAAATGTGTAAAGAGCCAAATACAGCTACTACAGACAATCCACAGTATACAGTAACTGATCCCACACGATGTTACAAAATTAAGTACACCACTCCGAGAAAAACTACTAAACCGTGGACCCCTAAGACAAAAAGATGTCCTCGTGTATCAGAACCTCCAACGGAAGAAGAACCTTCGTCGACTAGACACCCAGAACAGGATTGCAGTAAAGCAAAGAAAGCGAAAATTACAAAAAAAAAAGATTTGTTCGAAGACGATATAATCACTGAGAAAAGTCCTACTAAGCCAATTGTTTTCACCGTTACAAATTGGATGAACCCTTCAATGTCTGGGATTCGCCAGTCAGCGCTAACATCCACGGGAAATATTAAAGAAAAAATGTTCCCTACCTCAATCAATTCGTTTCGGAAAATTCAACGAAAAGAAATACCTGTAGGAGCCAACCAAAATAAAAAAACAACAATGCTAATTGCGCTTGACCACGATGCTACTATAACCAAATACAAATACAGAGAAGTGAAGTTCCCGAGAACTTGGATTTGGACGTCACAGAAAATGTCTACGGAAGCATTCAAACAACAAGACATGACTAATGATATTAACCCAATAAATTTTAAGAATAAAAAAGATAGTTTTTCTAAACATAATGATAATTTGTCCGAAAATATTGATCTGTTAAAATCGGACGTGACAGCGCAAAATGCAGCAGCGAATATTGTCGACCTAATAGAAAATAATCGTGACTGCAGTTTTATGAAATCGAAAAAAACTGATTCGGTAGGAACCGCGATGAACGCAAAAACGTCACGGAATGTCACAATGCCTTACATTAAAGTATCTTTTAATAGTCCAAATATTGTTAATGCCGTTAAATATGACGGAAATCAAAAACAATACAGTACACAGTTGACAGATATTAATCCTTCTGTGGCCAGAGTTAATGTCCTAATTGCAGCTATAGCTAGTAAATTAAATTCTGTAGGGAGCAAAAACCGTGAACACACATCGCCTACCTGGCCAAAGCTCAAGAACATTGGTTTTGCACTACCATCAAGTCGTTTCCTACCGGACTCGAACATTTTGTCTGTTTTGCCAGTGAAAACCGACCAACAGCAAATTACTCCAACTTTTTCTAAGTATCCCTTGTATTACGTGCCGGTATTGCGGGGCTCTATTCACAAAAAATCGAACGACTTATGACCCCAAAGTCCTAAAGCTAATTTAAACAAAATTTCATTTTAAGAATGCGTTTCAATTTATTTAAATTTTGTTTTTTGCTTATACACAATATCGATTTTTATTTTTTTAGTTCCATTTGTCCGAATTGTTTGCTTTAATTTTATTTTAGAAATAAATCGTCAATAAATAATGGTTAATTTATTAATTATATAGAAATAAGGACCTTCAAAAATCATTAATTTAACCGATAATCCATAATTATTATTATTATTTTATTAACATGGATATAATTATTGTTATTATAACACAAAATATATTCAATTTATATAGATTATTATTATTTATTCATGATTATTTTAATGCTGAATTTTCAAAATACGTTCTGATTATTGTATATTTTATTAACATTACTTAATTAAAAAAATGTTCCTTGGTGTTATTCCTTTCTGTCATATAATGGCATAAAATGTACATGATCGTATGTTATATATAAATTGTTATTTCGCGCATAATTTTTAACTATTAATTTATATCTAGTTGATAGCAAAATGTTCTGACGTATAAGTATAGAAGATACATTTATTATAACGCATAATATGACTTATTACTCTGGAAAACATGATTTGCATTATTTTAGGCGGGGAAAAGAAACGGTTTTGTACTGTAAAACAGCATATATTTCATTAAAAAGGGGACAAATTATCGATGCGTGACTTTAACAAAATTATGGAATGACTACAAATAAAATCTCAAGCGAACAATTAAATTGTGTTGTATTAAATGGACTTCTTCAACCAAAATTTATTTGGTTCAAATTGAACGTGAATAAATAATATTGATTTAGATGTCACGGCCGGAATTCTTAATGCATTACGTTAAAATCGTGACTAAAAAATCGTCCTTTTCATTGAAATAACAGAAATTGTTACGAACATTGATCAATAAAATGTTAATTAGTGACTCTCACAAAATAGTAGCCCCTAGCTGAGAACCATCAATAGTAAAATGTTATGTATTCCGGATGATTGTAACGATTTGGGGGTGAAAATGCCAAGTCATTTCCAACGGTCTCGTTGCAGTCTCTTGCTACTCTAGTGATTCGACCAGTACAATCCTAACTAATTGCTCGTTTACGACGTGATACAATATCCTTGTCCATATATTTATTCGTATAGCTCCACACGTGTTTGATATATTAAAAGATATTGTAATTTACGCTTATACTTAAGCGATACCAGACAAGCGCAACGGACACTTCCGACTGGCATGACTCACGCGAATGACTGGCGAATTTCAATTTCTATGTGGTCTCGACAAAATAGTGTAACTGACGTTACGTTCGATTCGAACAAGCGACGTGTTAGGTGGTGAACACAACATTCGTGTATCAGTCACTAAACCACCACTCTTGCCACTTCGTTTACTTACCTAAACCACCGCCCTTCCCACCTCCGACCATATGTTCTCGTGAATTAATGAACTGTTCGGTGACGACTGGATAAGGTGGCGAGCACAAAAAAATACAATGTTAACAGTAAAAGGGAGAAAGAAGGGTATACAACAATAGTGGGCACACAACGCAATACAAAGCAATAAAAATAATTAACTAATCTAATATATTGATGCAGAATTGACAATGCGTTTTAGTGAAATCAATAATGCAAAAGACTAATGAGCTCAGTGTAATTATTTGCCATGGGTTTTTTTTATTAATATATTTTTCATTTGTTAATATGATCATTTCGTTCATTTTACTATAATTTGCTGACAAAATTTTCATCAAATTTAAATTATCTTAATAAAAAAAAGTAATTTAATTTTTAGAAGAAATTGATGAATTATTCCATAAACGACATCTATTTCCTTAATTACAGCTTGATTAGTAGTTTCTTTGATTTATAAGTATAATATATGAATAAATACTAATTACAGTCAGTATATTTAGTATGAAATTTATAATCAATAATTTAGTATTGTAATTTTTACTGAGAAAATATAAAAAATTATAATATATTTGTATATTTTGTTAAATCTATGGTAAACATGTATCAAAATTGTAACTATGAATTTACCAAATTAAATACAGTATTTCAGGATCATTTACAAAACTTAAGATGAAAAAGTTGAGTTTTGTAAAAAATTTGATATTTTGAATCCCCCCAGTGGGTAGGTAAAGGGTCAGATTATCATACAATTTATATCAAATTAAAATAAAACACGTAAGGTGTTTATATACAACAAATTATTTTGATTCGTTCATTTTTCAAACAGTCATGGCAGTTTTAAGTACCAAAATATCATTGATTTTTTACTCAAAAATTTCATTTTTTTGTTCAATTTTGACGGTTATTTGCACATAGGAGAAAAGGTGTCGGGACAAATTGTTTTTTTTTTAACTTATAGTACTTATTGTAAGCTTTAATTTAACATATGTTTAAAGAACGTAGTATTTTCGGAATTTTTCAAATTTTGAACACCACCATGTGAGCAAGTTAAGTGTTAGATTTTCAAAAAAATGACATCAAATGAAAGGGAAATATCTAAGGTTTCTATATAAGAAAAATTATTTTAATTCATTCATTTTTCAATAAATGATAGCAATTTTTAGAAAAAAGTGAAATCATAATTTTTGGGTGATTTTCGCTATTTATGGGGAACGATAAAATTTGTTTTAATTTTTGAGGATAATGTTTTCAACTAGATACACTTTTTGATCTTTTGACGTATCTTTGGGAAAAATCGGTCTAGTAAGAGCTGAGAAAATGTAGTGACAGACACAAAAAAAAAATAAATGAATAAAAACATCATGGTAAAATTAATACCTTCTCAGCTTCGTATCGAAGCTAAAACATATTACTATACAATTAAAAAAAATATATATTATATTTCAGTTATAAATCGATAACAAAATTTTAGTTATGAAATATTATTTTTTGTTTACATCAAAGAAAAAACTGTAATATAATAAATCTTTTATAATTAAAAGTATGAAACCTACGGAATTTGTTGATAATTTTATAATTTACAACTTATTAGTAATAAGCTATATGTTAATATTATTAACTTATATTGTGTATATTGATAATAAATTGAGATTTATCTAAGATTATTCATCGTTTCAATTAAATGTTAATTTTAATAAAAACCCCAATAAAACTATACAAGTTCAAAATCTTGATAAAACTCACTTTGAGTTAAGTAGATAATCGAAGAGCTCTAATAAAAAACCAAAATCCTCGACCAAATATCACTATAGTTTGTTTGACTATAGTTTCTTTTGTGGACTATTTTTCAATGAAAAGTTCTATATACTAATTCTACGTTGCAGAAAGCCTCAAAATAAAAATAATCCACCGGAAATATTCAGATTGCAATAAATTTAATAAAACTTAAGGAACGTCATAAATTTTTATAGTAGCAATAAAAATAATAAATATAATATATATGTAAATATTTATTTTGTCGTTTAGTATAACCAATCATCAAACTTTTAATTTTTTTTTACTATCGTTCTTTAAGTATATGAGTTCTTTGCTTTTTATTAAGTAAAAAAATCTCTTAAAAATAAAAACGTGTATATTAAAACATTTGAAACGACATAAAAAGGCCAAATAGTTATACTTATAAAACACTTATAGCTCAAATATATCTATAAATAATTATTTTTAACTTTTAGACATTAAGAAAATTTAACAGTGCATTGATTGAATAGATTTATTTTTATTTTTTGATTGTTTCTGGATTTATAGAGTAGAAAAGAATTTAAAAAAAAAGTAAAATTTAATCGCATAATATACACCTTTTTTAGTTTTGATATAACTGCAATAGAAGTAGAAATTTTATTCGTCAACGTTAAATACTTTCACCTTAAGGAGGAGTTATCTCGATTATTGTAAGGTGTACTTCCATTTGTTGACACACCTATCAAAAAGGCTATTGTTTGAAGTATTTCTATTTTGAAAAAAGGTTAATTATCTTGTAACACTACACTATTTCCCTCCAAATTAAGAACTTTCATCTTATGGATTTCATATAACATTTTATCGACGGTAATCGCTATTCACAGAATACGCAGCATTTATTGTCAATTATATTTGTATTTATTTATAGCATCATCATAAAAAAACAATGAGCTACTTTTATTTGTAATCCCTCAACATGTGAATTAATACAAAAAATTTGAAACTTAAATGTTTTATTTATAAAAAAAGAAATAAAGTTATATTAAAATTTCCAATGCTATTAACTATTAAAATAAAATCTCAAACATTTTATTAAATTAAAAATATCGTGTTTATTTGAAAAATCAAAGTTTACACCCTCACAAGGCATCAGGAATGAACGTAAAACATAGCCAATAATTCAAGAATATCATGTATTTAAAGTTACCCAAAAAACATATGTATAAATTATTTCTATTCTGTGAGTAATAGTGGGGTTATGATAAAAAAACCACTGTGTTTATATTTCATAATGCATCTTATAAAAATTCAAGTAAAATTATAAATTCAATAGAAATTCTTTCATAATATTAATTTCAAAGGTATGATATGCGTTACACAACCATTTTACTTCCCGATCGGCGATTTGTAAAAAATAAATTGTATAATAGTTTTTGAATGAATAGTAAATAAAACTTGAAGTTCACCTCTAGTGAACAGTGATCTTCTAAAAAAAAAATTTAATTCCAAAATTATCAGAACAATTTTTAATATTTCAGTCGATATTAAGTGTTATATGAAATCTAAAAGATTAAAATTCATAATTTGGAGGGAAACAGTGTAGTGTTACTAGATAACTAACCTTATTTCAAAATGGAAATACTCGAAACAATAGCCATTTTTATAGGTGTGTCAACAAATGGAAGCATGTCTTACAATAATCGAGATAACTCCTCCTTGAGATGAAAGTATTTAACGTTGACCAGTAAGACGAATAAAATTTTTGTTTTATTTTTATCATTACACATTATTTTACCGCACTCTTCTTCTAATTTACATTTAAAAATTTTAATAACTTAATAAAGTTAACACCCTTAAAAGGTATAAAGGATATTCAAAAAATATTTAATAATTGATAAATCGAGAATTATATGATACTAAAAAACACCAAAAAGAATTTTCTTAACACAATTATTATTTTAAGAGAAATCAAGTAGCTAATTTTTAGAAAATCATTATTTATATATATAC